AGTGATGGATGGCTTCTGCCTTTCAGGATTGCAAACTAGGACTTGGTATAGCAGTTTTGAAAAAGATACTCAGATTTTGTGACATGTCTATTCCTACAAATTTTACAATCACATAGGCAATGATTTTTCCCCATGATACTCTATGAAAGTGAAAGCAGGATAACAAAGAGTACTGACACTTTTGCCTTTGGTATTAAAGAAGAGCCTTGAGAATATCATGGAGTGATATGACCAGCACATGTAGCTAATCAAACACTACAACTTTCAATCACGCCTTGAACAGAATACTTATAAAACTCTAATAGACTTCTTTAGTCCTCTTTAAGGTACAATTGTATTTATGCAAAATTAGCTACATAATGTTGCCCTGCGCCTTATTCTAAATAATGTTTAGTAGCTTGTACAGATATATGGATCTGCAGTTGACTGTAAGTACAATTTCAATGCTGTTATCGGTTATTGAAATTTAGAATGGTATGGTTTTATTCAAAATAATGTAATCATAATGTATCATAGGAAGCTTTCTTTTAACATATATCCAGAATTTAACATACACGTCACAATTGAGACCACAAAAACAGAAACAGCCACTAAATAAATCCTTTTCAACAATCTATAACAGGGATGTCAAATTCGATTATATTGAGGGCCACATTAGGGTTGCGGCTGACCTTGGGGGCCGAGTGGGCATGGCTGGATGATCGCAGCTGACTGGATGGTGGTGGCTGGGTTGTTGTGGCCAGCTTGATGTTGCTTGCATGGGGGGGGGGTGGTCTGGGTGGGGCTAGGGGGATCCATTGTTTCCAGCCCGCGCCCAGGGGTGGCAGCGGCTCCTCGCTGATTCCAGGGCAGTCCCACAGATCTAAGGCTGACTGCGTTCCGGCCCAGATGGCTGAAACCAAGTTTTATATCAATGCCTGGCTGACTTGGGCCAGGGCTGAGGCACCGGTCCTTTGCGGTTTCCAAGGCAGCCTCGCAGGCAAAATCTGACCACATTGCGGGCCGGATCAGTTTGACATCCCTGATCTATAATTTTTTGAATGAACCAGAGTTGCCAATACTATGTAACTTTCACTTGCTAAGAGATCTGAGTCATAGTTCCACAGAATATAGGAAAGTTATCCTATATGCCATAATAATATACACCCTTTCCCTAGCAAGCTGCTTCAATACCTAGCCATGCCTTCTTTTAATGGAGCATTATTTTAATGGAGGTTATGTTCCACCACCTACTGTAGCATTCAAAAATGCTTCTTCTCCAACTTCATGGATGTGGTACTATACCTTGCTGAACATAGGAACAAAGGATATACTGAATCTTTAATCTTGAATTTGGGAGAGTGTCTACAAAATGAATGTTCTGCTGCAGCAAGAACAGAGAAATTGACTGCATATCACATTATTACAATAGCAGAGAAAAGAGAAACACTTTCAAGAGATGGCCTATATGGATGAAGCAAGCCTTTTAACTAAACAGCCATTATATTATAATAAAACATTAACTGAATGCTAGCAGGATAAAGAGGAGAGATTCCCGAAAAGAGAGTTCCACTGTCCCTATATTCAGTTTGTTTATGTATAATTGGGTGATTCTGGGCTTAATTTCTTAGCTTTGTATTTTAAGGCTAAGATGAATGAGCCCAATTAGCTGAATCTCAGAGGGGGGAAAAAGTCCAGTATAAGGAAAGAAAATAATATAAGAGGCTTACAAAGCAGGAAATATTATAGTGGGTTTTGTCCTGAAATAAAATTATAATCTAGCAGGAACAATTGCTGATAACATATTTTGGAGTAGGCATTTCTAGAATAATAGGAATTCTGCAGCATGGAGTAAAATGGTTCATTGAAATACTGTGTTCTGTAAAAAAGTTTCAGTATGACAGCTGCTGTACATGGGAAGGCAACAAATGCTATGTGACCAGAGATGACTGGCATGACATGTGCATCTTATGCAATCATGTTCACAACTATCCTAAAAATATTCTGTGGAAAAGTCTTTTTAAAAATTATAATGGTACCAAAACCATCAATCTAGCCCACAAAACATTATAGCAGCACAGAAATAATGTTATTTACTGAAGAGACAAATCTACAAAATGGTTATATCCCAAAATAGTAAAATATTGTGAGGTACTGCATTTTCAGCAACTAAATGATTTGTTATAATCCTCCAGAGATAACCCCTAGAAAATGCCTTTTTCTTTCTTAAGTGATGTTTTTGAACTGGTTTTCCTTGCTTCAGAACTCTCTTCCTGTGGAGGCAATGAGGATAGCATAATTAAGAGCCAATTACATTTATCTTGACATAATGCCTTTGACAAGCTGGTTTAGTAGAGAGTTCCTAGGCTGCTATTCTGATTCTTTATTTTTCTGAATGGCTGGACAGAAGAATTAAGCAAATGAATAGGCTAAGCGACTATTTAAGTCTGAATCTAGCTTTTGCTCTATGTACCCTAAGGAGTATTTTTCTGTTTTTAGCTCTGCTCTAAACATTCTGCCAGAACATTCTAAATTATCTATGTTCCAATAAAATTTGAATGCCTCATGTTTTCTGTGTTCTGATAGGAGAAAATTGGAAAATTGGTTTTGAATATACTAGGCATAAAAAAATTTGGGAGCTTGGGACAAATATGCTCACTTTCCCCCCCAATCCCATGGCTAAATGAATAATTAAAAGACATTGCTTCTGTTGTTTCCAATAGGGATTTTAACTTCTTAATTTTTAAAAAATATACCAATTTTTCACATAAATTATTTCCCAAATAGCAGTTAATATAGACTATCACCCTATCTCATTCAAACAAGAAGTTTTCCAATCCATCCGCCTTATAGAAATAAGCTGAACAAAAAGTTCTTTGCTAGATGTGTATTCCTATTTGTTTTTGCAAAAACGAAACTCCTTCTTAATTCTTGTATCAATAACAACAGCAACATTATGAAACCTAAATAAAATAAAATATATATTTTCAGCTGCAGTAGCAAATACATTCATCATATGTACATATATAACTGAGCAAAGTATAGTTACCATAAAAATAGAAATTAAAACAGTATATTATAAAAAATTATAAAATGACAAGAACCTATAGACTAAAAGGCCCATGCTATAAAAACAAATCAACATAAATCAGTAAAAATGTACTCTTCTTAGCATTTGCAACCTATCAGCAGCGTGTCTTAGGAGCTATCCCCATCCTGGTCAAAAGCCAGGTCTTCAAAGCCCTGTGAAATGCCAGCAACATGAGAGCTTATGTTTTTATTTTTGTATAGTTTTTATTTTTGTATGATTGTAAGATGACCAGAGTTACTCTGAGGTAAGATGGGTGGCCAATAAATAATTTATTTTATAAATAAATATATCAATCATTTAATCAATCAATCTCAGGGCGAACCTCATTCCAGAGGACAGGTGCTGCTCCAGAGAACACTTCTGGAGTCTCAATAAATGATATTATATAATCACTCCATCGGATCTAAAACAATAGCAACATGAACATCCCTGCTGTTATATTAATTAGCATATACTTAAAACAAACATAAAAATTTTGCACAAGATGCAGTTTCAGGACCAAACATAAAGATAGTCCCTCATAAGCAGTCTCTCGCAGGTAGTACTGCAGTTATTTAAATTTGAGATTATGAGTACATGAATCTCTCTAGTTTGTTCCCATCCATGAAAGCATAATAATCCATCTGAAGCTGGTAATACTGTAGGGACTATTCATGGAAGTCATTGAGGAGGTATAATCCCATTTAGTGCATGTAATTCCATCTATCAGCTTTGTTTCTCAAGATTCAGTTGCAATTTGTGGGACCTTATCCACCACATCACTGTACAGCAGGGGGTCAAACTCAAGCTCCAGTGGCTGGATCCAGCCCACGGGGTACTTAGCAGTGGTGGGATTCAAATTTTTTTACTACCGGTTCTGTGGGGGTGGCTTGGTGGGCATTGCAAGGGAAGGATACTGTAAAATCTCCAGTCAGAGGTTGTATTTGCTGGTTCTCCGAACTATTCAAAATTTCCATTATTGGCTTGGTGGGCATTGCAAGGGAAGGATACTGTAAAATCTCCAGTCAGAGGTTGTATTTGCTGGTTCTCCGAACTATTCAAAATTTCCATTATTGGTTCTCTAAAACTGGTCAGAACCTGCTGAATACCACCTCTGGTGCTTAGATCTGGCCATGGGGCCACCCTGGAAACAGCAAAGGATTGGCCCACAGTGCCTCTACCAGAGGAAACGGAGCTCGGGAGGGCTCTCCTGAGCTACATTTTCACTGGCAGAGGGTTGCAGGAGGCAATTGCAGCCAAAAATAGAGCATGCGAGGGATGCGGGTGGCCCTCCTGAGTTCAGTTTTTGCTGGCAGAGGGTTGTAGGAGGCTGTCGCAGCCAAAAACAGAGCTCAGCAGCCTGCTTTCGCTGGCAGAGCACTTGGGCCACTACAGGCGCTCCCAACATGAGTGACATTGAGCTGGCCACACCCACCCTGGCCACGCCCATCCTGGGCCCCTGAGGACAAACACAACCCTGATGCGGGCCTCAATGAAATCAAGTTTGACATCCCTACAGTATTCATTCACTGGTCCAAAATATGCATATTATGATTAAATGATATGGAAAAGTACACTTAACTTTAAAATTCCTGAGGACCTTCCCCAATGATTTTATACAGATGTAAGTAACATTGGGGCTATTGAAGTGCCTTATAGCATTCCACAATTTATTGCCAGGGTGTAAAAAACATGGCCACCAAATCATACTCTCAAGTGATTATACCCACAAGTAGAAACAAATTCATAATCTGCTCCTTTGTTTAATCATTTTACATATGGTACATACAATAATATAGGTTTACTTGTAGAGTTGGGCAACACAAATATGTATGAAGTCTCAAAATGAAAAACATTATTATGTGAAACAGAAAATGAGAATGAGAGAATGAATTATTTAAAAAAAAATACAGTAGCATGTTGCCTACCAGTCGCATTCTTTGAAATTTACCTGTCATGTGCCCTCATGAAATCCCAAAGTTTTGAAACACCATTCTGAAAAAAAAGGCAAATAAATAATATGTTATATTAACATTCAATCTGTTTCCATGCAAATCAAGCAGTCAACTTTCAAGTTCATTTTTAGTTATAAAAGCCACAATTATTTTGGAAGCCTCTCTAAATTTCCTACTTCTGATGAAAAAGTTGCATATATGCTAACTAGCTGGTGTGAAAAAGCTAGGTTTTATGGGTGTATCTATGTATTTTTCTTGGCAATAATGTGGAAGTTGTTTTCCCATTGTCTTCTTGGAATATTTTTTTCCAACAGTTCAATCTGAAATGCAGTCCTGAGATTTCCTGACAACTTCCCATCATTATAATACATCAAACCTTGATCTAGTTTAGCCATGACCAACTATGCACTGCTACTGAGTTAAGTCTAAATATGGTAGCAATTGTTGTTATATGATTGTAGAAAGTCTAGAAAGTTGGCACAGGACGTATGCTTTGACATACAACTGAATCTGATCTTCTAATAGTCAAATAATTCACATTGGTTAAGATAATTTATTGTTCTTTCCATGCTAGTGGACAGATTGGATCTTTGGCAGTTCATCTTAACACTGTTATTAGGCTTGAAACAAGAAAACAATTACACAGGTAGGATTCAAGACAATAACATGTTGATAAGGAAGAGCTTAAAGGTCAAAACCAACTCTTTCCAACCACTTGTGCTAATGTTGAGTTCAAATCTGTTCCTCTTCATCCAGCCCCATACTGCTTCCAGACACCAAGAAAAAAATCTCAACAATATCACTTGGTTTGGACAGAGATCTATAACTAATATCAGCATACAGTATTAAGAATGCTTCAGCCCTTACTGACAGATGACCTCACCCATTGGTTTCATGTGGGTGTGAAACAGGAAGGGGAGAGCACTGAGTGCTGAGAAACTCTACACTGGCCCCCATCAACACCAAGTGGAACTGACCCTGGGAGAACGAAGAAAACGGTTGAGTTACTTTGGCTCCCCCACTTATAACTTTTTGAACTGATCCAGAAAAATATCACAATCAATCATACTGAAAGCCACCAACAGATCAAGAACAGCAAGGATGGATGCATAGCACCCATCCTATTCCTGCCATATATTATCCACAAGAATGATCAATTACTATCTCAGTCTCATTTGTAGACATGACACTCGACTGAAAAGAGTACAGATAATCTCCAAATTCGAAAATGACCTATAATTGCCCATTTTTCAAGGATTTTTTTTATATTAGTAAACAGTTGTTGAGGAATAAAAGTGCTTCTTTTTAAAAAAATGATTAATTGGTATAATGTTGTCCAGTTTAATAGCTTTCTCTATTTTACATTATGTTGTTGTGGATTGAAATGAAAGTATTCTTTTTGTCTTTGCTACTAGCGTAATGCAATTCAGATCAGCTTTGTGTAAAGTTTCTATTGTGCTGAATACCGACTTCACGCTGACAGTCCAGTATGAAGGCTGCTAATTATTAATAGCAAGCAAACAGTTACCAATGGTTATATGTCTCTGTGTACTTTACAGCACATTAAATCTAACGTACTTATGGTGATTTTATCAGGTAATACACAAAATGACAATGATTTATCTTCTATTCAACAAACTCATATGTTTATAAAATAATGAAGACATAACAAATGGGGAATCAACTTGGTCTTTCAAGGATTCTCTTCATTGCCCCAGATAAGTAACCATCAAAATGTTTACCATGCAGACATTCGCAATAGTAAGGTGGGGGCTGCGCTACCACTCCTATTGCTATTCTTCTCAATAGACTGAGGAATGTTTTTCTAGTGTCTCATGTATATAGAGAAAGTTAGTAGCAAAAGTAAACACTATTAACCCTGCAGTGCTAGCTCTACACAAAAATGCCCCCGTGTTAGAAACTGCTTGAATGCTGGCATTTGTCAAGTAAAAGAGAGAATTCTCACAGAGAAACCTATTTATGTATTCGGCCACTAAACAGATCCATTCCAGGCATTCCTGACAAGGACATGGAAGTCTGTGTTCTCAATACAGGTAATCCTCCATTTACAAACATTCATTTAGTGACCATTCGAAGCTACAACGGCACTGAAAAAAGTGACGTTTGGCCATTTTTTGCTTGACCCTTGCAGCGTTGCCATGGTTATGTGATCAAAACTTGGATGCTTGGCAACTGGTATGTATTTACAGTAGCAATATCCCGGGATTATGTGAATACTCTTTGCAAACCTCTGACAAGCAAAGTCAACGGAGGCCAAATTCACTTAACTGTGTTACTGACTCAACAACTATTTATGGCAAGAAAGGTCGTAAAATGGGGGGAAACTCACTTAATAACACTATGCAGCAACAAAAATTTTGTGTTTGTAAGTTGAGGACTATCTGTAGTCACCCCCATGCTTTGGAACTCCCTTCTAGTTAAAATTCATTCACCTCTTCCCTCTAGTCTTTAGGATTATTTTGAAGACCCATCTGCTCTGCTTTGCATGGGAAGTGTCCTATGATTTAAAAGTGGGACTGCCAGTGCATGGCATTTGTATTGGTGAAAAAAAAAATTCTTTGATTTTCTTTTTTACCTTTACAGCTATTAGGATATTCTGGATCTATTTTTATACATTTATGTTGCTAGCTACCTATACTCTGTGGGAATAGACAGCATACAAGCAAAATAAATAAGCAAGCTTATTGCATATTAACCGCCTGCCAACTAACCAAAACAGCAAAATAAATATCTTTTCAATCCTATGTCTTCATGGCTCTATTTGAATAAATATAAGGTTACCTGCATTTAAAAGCTGAACATATGTAGATTGGTGGTGGTGGATCTTATGGAGGATGTTCTGCAAGTGAATAAGGAATCTCTACTCCCATTGTAGGAAGAAAAGACTAGCCATTGATTGGATTCTTAAAAATAAGATGCCTATATGAGACAAACTACCCCCTTTATGCCATTCAGGCTTTGTACTTGAAACTAAAATTGCTGGGTTCGTGCAAGGCACTAAATCTTTAATATGGATTAAAAAAACAATTTATAGCATATCATAACATAGCATACCATGGCCAAGCAAATACATCTTATTATAGATTGCAGCTTGTGTAATTATAGTAAATTGGGTTCCTACCACATCACAAACTGTTCAATCTCTTTTCAGCCGTAATGTGTGAATCTAGTATTAAGCCTCTCTTATGCCTGCTGCAGAAATATTGCCTTATTTTTCAGGCAAGCACCCTATAATGCAGGTATGTTATATATCTAGATTTCTAGATGCAAGAAAAAACATTTTGAGGGTACACAGAAAAAAAAGAAAAGAAAAAAAAAGGATGGTGATGGGACAACAGGTATAAACATAAACCTAGGAAGAAAAGAGAAAGAAAGAACAATACTTAATGGAGATGAGGCAATCAAAGGAAAATTGAGTAAAGAAAGAGGGAGAAAAACCTTAGGAAAATTTACATAAAAGGATTAAATACCATAGATAAATGTTTTTAAGCAAGACCTAATTTTCAAGCTAATCTTAAAAGATAAGTATGCTTTTCATCAGGGAGGTACAAGTATTTGAGGTCTTACTAATTTCTTTTTTGATGGGTCCTATTTTTACCAGCAATATGAAAGAATCCCCTATTCCTAATATAATGCAATTATTTGGGACAGAATGGGGAAATCATTTTCCTACTAGTTATGGACAACATTTACATCTCAGGTAATATAGCTGGGAAAAGGAACTGATATGTTGAAGAGTTGCCTTTAGTTAGCCAAATAGACTAACAATATGACTCCATGCAAGGCAGATTCAAATGTTATAATGAAAATATCCTCTCTATATATATACTGTCCCACATAATAATTGAATTGTTGAGCAGAAACAACAAAAACACATTGAGGAATAGATTATGTGCCTAAGGGCAGAATAAAATGCTTAATACTTTCTTAAACCTTGCACTATCCCGGTTTATTAGCTAAAACATTATTTTGTTTAACTGTTTTCTATTTCAGCTAATGAAAACTAATTTCAGATCCAATGTAATTTGCAAAGCAGGACTAACATGGATGATCTAATTTGATTGAGGCTTTTTCTTTTTTTGCCAGCTGCACTATTGATGCCAGTTTCCGTCATGTACCATCAATAGCTAACACAACGAGTGACTATGGCAATGCCCCTGAACGCTTTGTACCTCTAGGTCAATGTGAACTTAATGGAGTTCATTTGTGCACATTTGCCCCTGCATGCTTTCCCCTCTGTATTGTTAATTACATAAGCCTGGGAGGAATTTACAGATCTTTCAGCTGTCTTGTAAATAAAATAAGAAAAAAAAAAACCTCCAAGATTTCACCTTCACTGCTACCACTTAAAACATCGTTATTTAAAGAGTAATATAAAGCCAAATCTCCATATAGTATTGTGATATCAGAATTATCAATATAAATTGTGAAAAGAGCTCTTTTCTACATAGCATGCAAAAAGCATAATCTTCCAATGCTTCCTGATGTGGTATACAAAATCATTGACAATTCAAAAGTTATTTTTCCGTACCCTTAATATGGACAGTCAAAGTACTACAGCGAATATAATACTGGAGATGGAATGGATCTAAATTTATATTTGAATTGCAAATAATATGCCTGCCAAATTGTTGATTTTTCTCAGCCATCTACTACAGACTTCTCACACAAACAACAAAATTAATCCACATGTAAAATAGGATAGCGTGCATGCAAACACCTTGAATTTCTTGGAGGAAGGTTGGTACACCCCAGTAGCAAAGCAGATACTTTTCATGCAGAAGGTTCCAGATACAGCTATTTTCAGACAGAAGATAATGTTATCTGGAGCAGTGGCTCCCAACATTTTGGGCACCAGGGACCGGTTCCATGGAGAGAGATTTTTCAGCAGACCAGAGGGGGTGTGGTTTCATGTGCTGCCTGCATCCCGCAGATGGGGCTTTACTTGTTTGAGCGGATCCGTTGCTGGCCATGGATTAAGGGTTGGAGGGCCCTGACCTTGATTATTTAGCATAGACA